CGGAAGGCTGGCCGAGGAGGAACAACGCTCGTTCCCAACTCCGCCCACCTCTCCGACCGGAGCCTTCGCCGGTCTCTAGCCCGTCTCCGGATGGCCTCTCCGACCGGAAGGAAGGCCGCCAGCACCGCTTCGACTCCGACCACCAGACTCTTCGACCGGGATACGCCAATCCCACGCTCCATCGCTCTTCTCCATTGGCGCAACCAGAGTCGACTGGGACCAGCCCACCGGGGACGCCCGCTCGTTAGAGACCAGGAAACATCCGGAGAAAAGTAAAGCAGGGCGCACAAGTCAAACCGCAATACAGGGACCATACCCTGCGCACCTGTCAGGCAATACCCTGCGACCCTCCCTGACACAACAGTATTGTAGGCGCCGACATTTTCCCCTACAGTATTGTGGGCGCCATTGACTCCCATACGATAAGGCACCCCCACATGCCTCTGGGCATCGACAGTGTTGTAGGCGCCGGCATTTACCGTACCAAGTGAACATGGTAAAACTCCTCAACAAAGCCTCTGAGCATCAACAGTATAGCAGGTACCGACATCTGCCATACCCGAACAAGACGACGAAACCTCCCATGCGCCTCCGACACTCAACAGTATTGTGGGTGCCTACCTTATCCCGTGCCATCGGCGTGGGCAACAAGGCTCAGTAGCATACGTACTCTCTCCCTCTCCCTTGTAAGGCCATCCCCTTTATCTATAAAAGGGGATGCGCCCTCTCCCTAAAGGAGATAGTTCTCTTCAGTTAACCCAAGTCCATTCAAGTGATTCTAGATTTATTAGATCGATCAAGTTTACTAGTACACAACCACAGAACCGCCAGGTTTGAACCACGAGCACACGCTTGAACACTTAGCTCATAGCGGGGCTCATGTCGTTTTTGGTCCCTCTGACCGGAGTCCGACCGGACCTCTTGTACCCCCCCATCTTTCTCCTTCTCGTTTGTAACCCCACTGCGAACTTCGAGCACCTGGGCTCAGGAATAAAGTCATCGACCGACTCAAACTGGACGTAGGGCACGTTGCCTGAACCAGTATAAACCCTGTGTCATTGAGTATAGGCCACCTCCGATCACAACGCACGGCAAAACTACAAATATTCACTTGTTGGTCACTTTACGACCGAAGCGGTTGGCGACGTCCAGTGGGGAAGGCGTTGTAACGTTCAACACTTTTTGGTTATCGAATGGCCCACTTTTTCCGCCACCCTCGCCGTGGTGGGCTCAGCGATACAATTCGCCGGCTCACTTTGGAGTTTCCCGCGGTCCCACTGTTGGGACGTGGGTTCCACCCATCTTCGAGCCATCCCAGGCCTTCCTCCTCGGAAGACTGGACTTCGTTGCCGACCGGCTCGGCGTACTACACCTCCGCGAGGAGGCACTCGTTTCGGCACCCATCGGAGGGGCGCCTTCATCGACTCGAGAGGCGCACGACTTTTGACGACGCGGCATCCGCGCTTCATTCCCGAGCAAACTCTCGCTCAAACCCGCCGTGAGTAATGTACATGCTGTTATTTACTTGCTATTTTCTATCTTTCGCCAATTACCCGGAGGGATGCCGTTGTCCCCGTTGCGGCCGCCTTACGGCCGGTTCCCCTACGGCCTCGTGTCTCCCACGGACGCGTACGCCTAGGGGCTCCAAAAGATGCCGGCCGCCGCCCGCCTCTCACGCCCGAATTCGTGGGGATGGCGAGCTACGCTCCCACCTATTTCCTCGACCTCATGGATGACGATGTCAGGAGTGACGGCTCCAGCATCGATGACGTGGCACCTAGCCACCATCCATCCCGGGAGTGCGCTATGGCGGACGCTCCAGGATAGCCACCAGAGGTAATGGAGTCCTTGCGACTCACGCCCCTCTAGACCCTCATGCGGAGACCCCGAGCTCACACGTGAGCACGGGAGCACCACGACAATGATGGTCGTGCATCAGCCCACCGCGGCCACTGGCCAAGGCCGGTGCACCACGCTGCGCCCCGTGCGCATAGACCGGCGAGCGGTGCCCGGGGTCGCACTCGTCGGGTCCAACACAACACCATGGACTGGGGGAATGATCCCCCACAGTTCGCTCGGGCCAATCAGAACATCGCCGCCGTGGCAATGCTTCTGTGTGGCCTGTCCGAGCCGAACGACCCTCATGAACAGGCAATCCACCGGAACCTCCGGGCACTAGTGGAGACCACCGCCGTTCAACACGTGGAGAGCTTCGTATCGTGACGCCGACTCGTGGCCTCGCTCCCCATCAGGGGAATGGGGACGCAGCAGATGGGTCGCTCCACCCGATCACCGCTACAATCGCCGAGCGCGGCATAGGAGGCCGCATTGGCACCTCATCTTGACTTGACGACCGTTCCGCACCGACCGCCTGTATACGCGCCGCTCGGACCGAACCAATACACACGCGCCAGCGACCAGAGTCCCAGCCCTGATGGCCCGGGACCACGGACCTTTGTCCAATGCCTCCAGCAAGCGCCGCTCCTGCCGTGCTCCAACGGAGGCCGGGGCAAAGGCAAGGCCAAGCGTCAGGATCAGGACGAGGGCCCCTCCACGCAGAGGGGGAAAAAGAACAGAAAGGATTGCCGCCGACCGACCAACTCCGCGTTGGGTGCCACGACTGATCACGCGGGCACACAGCCCCAGCAGGACCCTGTGGGCCACTTCCACGAACTCATGGAGAGCCCTTGCACCAACCACGACTACCCCATCAAACACCTCAACAAGGACTGCCAACTCCTCAAGCGCCTTCTGCGGCAAACCGGCGGGCCAAAGGAAGAAAACGGCGAAGAAGCAGAGACCGAGAAAGGGGACGTAGCGGGCAAGGATCCGGACGACTAAAGGTTGAAGTGATTCGACCGGACGCCTACCGACTGAAGGACAACAACGACGACATCCTCACCGAACACTTGGAACAGCTATGTTATTTTTTCTTCTCCTAAATTTCAGTCTTACCATTGTTTACTTAGCGTTTGCTCCTATAAGAACACCCGACCGAACACTTTTTTTTTCGGCTCGGGTCGCTCGGGGCTCCACAAGGATACACTACTACCTCGCTATTTTGTTTAATATCATATGATGAAATTACTTCCTACCCGATCAAAAGGGTAGTTCGTTCCTTTAATTTGCCTTACGTAGCTTTGCTTTAAAACATTCCGACCGATCGCACCGCGCCTTTTCCTATGGTTATGAGCAGCTGAGCCTTGCGGGCCACGCCTCGGGCTCCCAAGGTTGCAGCCTACGGGACAAACAGGCAGGTACGAGAAAGAAAGAATAAAAAACAAAATTAAGCTAAGGAAAACTAAGGAACAAAAGGAACAAGCTTCCCGAACGGAGTGACTCCATCACCACGTAAAATGAAACCAATCAGAGTCATTAAGTACACAAGAGCGTTTACACGGGGCTCCCCATGAACTTAAACTTTCTACATTTACTAAACTACTCATACTTTACAAGCTATTGGGCCGGATCGGCGGCATCATTGTCGTCGGACGGCCGAAGGCACTGTTGCTGCGCTCCCGTGCAGGACCACATTCGGCTCGGTCGAAGTTGTAGGCGATGTCCACCTTCGACCCAGGCTCCGTGCCATGCTCAAAGTTGGGCAACGTCCTCCCGAGTGGCACGCTTCGCCATGTCTTCACGACGGACGTCCATCACCCATCGAGCGGAGAGACTTGCTCGCCACCGACCTTGCGTGCGCGGCAAAGCAAGCTCTCCCCGATCGATTGGATGTCCTCCATGCTCAAGCCATCAGCGTACCCAATGTAGATAGTGGCAAAGTCCAGTTCGGATGGTGCGCCGCCACCGAAGTCAACACCCCCGACGCTTCGTAGAACAACCCACTTGTGATGAGGTCCCAGACCGCATCTAGGATCTCCGCCAGCTGGACAGCGGACGCGCTAGTGCTTGGTGCCGACCCGAAGATCTCCGAGACGACCAGCTGGGCAACGTTGTGGATTTGGACAAGTTCCCCTCGAGTGCACGCCGCTCTTCACGGGACTTGGCCAGCTCCTCTCTGCATTCCGGTGAAAGTCGCCTTTGGTATCTCTCTGTGTCCTACTCCAGCAACTTCACCTTCCGCCCAGCTTCGAAAGAAGGGCAACAAGCTCGTAAACAGGCTGAAGGAAGAAACCAACACAACGAAAAATAGAAAAGGTACGCATCGACGCGGAAGTTCTCAAGGGTGGAGAATTCCTCCGCTTGCTGGCCACACCGCTCACGCAGCCCGGCGCCGCCTCCTCCGTCCCCATCACCTGGCCTCGAAGCGCGATGAGGACCGCCGCCACTGCCGCACGCAGCAGCCTGCCTATCACCGTTCGGCAGCAGCTGGTACTCTCCTCCTCGCCGTCAGACTCGTCACTGCCGACAGCCGTGGCCTCCTCTGCCTGTACGACGACGGCTTTGTTAGCATCGCCATTGGCCACCGCTACCGGCTGCAGCTTCTTCCTCTGCTTCCTGCTCCGCTTTCGTTCGCGCCTTCTTCTTCGTTGCGACCGACGTCGTCCCGGCGGCGCTGCTCTGCTGCGCTGTGCCGGCGGTGGCCTCCGAGGCCGCCGTCGCCATCGCTTGCTGGTGCTTGTATTCCGCGGCTTCTCTGCCCTTGGTGTCCCTCTCACGTCTCTTGGCTGCCTCGTTGTCGCGGGATCCTCGTCGGCGCAGCACGGCCCACATGTTGGCGCCGCCTTGGTTCCGCCTACCGCAGCCGAATTGTCATAAGCTACTTGCTATATATGGAGGCAAAGAAGATCTATGAGGTCCGGACACTGAATTGTCATAAGCTACTTGCTTTAATTAGCTGCAAGGAATTACTTCAAAGATGCTATATTTTGTTTCCTTATTCTTTAATAACCAGACGTTCTAGAAGTTGAAGTTCCTTTCTTTATTATCTACTTGTGGCCTCTTTCTTTGCTTGACTCAGTTTCCTTTTCCTGTTTTTCTCCTCCATTGAAAAGGGAACAGTTTTATCAAACAATCTTGTCAAACCATCATTTATCGCCTATATGATGAAGTGGCTGTGGGCAAGATTGATTGCTGCATTTCTCTTGCCTTTACATAATCTGGCGAAGATTCTAGTATACAAGAAAATTCATTCAGCAATCGGGATTTCAAAGGTATATTAATTTTGCTTATATTCTTATTTCTGTGTTGCATCAATGATCCTTGCAATTTTAAGTGTAACCTGAACTTTATTAACACCCACTTAACAAATACTTAATAAATCACCTAGTTTCCGTGACAACTTGCAGGCTGGTATTAGTGGCGGTGGAAGTCTTCCGATGCATGTTGATAAATTTTTTGAGGTAAGGGTTATCAATAAACTTCTTATTTAAATGTCAGTAGCTTTATCAATGTTCTGCTCTTTCAGGCCATTGGCATTAAAGTACAAAACGGCTATGGTCTTACTGAGACTTCTCCTGTTGTTGCTGCTAGACGACCATTCTGTAATGTAAGATGAGGAAATGCTTGTTTTATTTACTAATTGGATATAGTTTTGCATACTGTTTCCTATTTGTTACATGCGATAAGTCGACAATGCTAAACATTAACTGTGTATGTCGCTTGAAGGTTCTTGGGACAATTGGCCACCCAATAAAGCATACTGAAATCAAGGTTTTCGACATAGAGACTGGTGAGGTTCTCCCAGATGGTTCAAAGGGGATTGTGAAAATTAAAGGACCGCAAGTAATGAAGGGATACTATAAGGTTCTACTTCTTTCTTTGCTGATACAAATCAATTGCCAAATCTAAATTAGAATGCTGATGTTCCATTAACATGTTGCTCGTCGAATTAATTAGTTCTCTGTGGAACACTATTTTAGATTCTCTGTACTTAAAGTCAGCTAAGAATATTCCAGAGGTATTAACAGCCTGATATCTTTGCTACAATAGTTGACAAAATGAGGAGCGGTAGTATTCTTATAATTTCATGTTTTACTTAATATATTAATCCTTCCGTATGGTGTTGATAGACATATCGCCGAAAGTGAAATGCACATTAAGAACCAAGCATCTAAATCTTAGAATCCATGTCTCGGCCCCATGCACAGATTAATGATATTATTTGAGTGTTCAGCTTTCTGGAGGACTCATTTCATAATTTTTTTTTTGTCATTAGAATCCATCGGCTACAAATGAAGCTTTTGACCAAGAGGGTTGGTTCAGCACTGGAGATATAGGTTGGATTGTATGTCACCATGCCATAGGGCCAAGTCGCAAGTGTGGAGGGATGCTTGTTCTTGAAGGGCGTGCGAAGGATACAATAGTCCTCTCTACAGGTTCAGATTATAATTAGTCTCTCCTTTTTCAGAATGTGTACTTTTTTATATAAATATATTCTTTGTCATTTTTTTATGATTCTGTTAGGAAACTTACTGTTTGGTCTTGGATGTTGCACAAAGAAAATCTAGTTGATATCATGTAACTTTTTACTGACCTTGACCATCTCATTTGTAGGTGAAAATGTTGAACCTGCTCAGATCGAGGAAGCAGCCGGCAGGAGTAACTTGATTAATCAGATAGTTGTGATCGGCCAGGTAAGAGATATGCCCAGCTATAATCATCACTACACTCAATTCAGACTCCTTTATGTGTGGGCACATATCTTTTCTTGATGCAACTAGGGAAATATTCTGAAGAAAAAACCCATGTCATTATCTGAAACTGTGGTGTTATGGCTACTGCATTGTTCATGCGTTAACAATTTTATTTCCGGCGATGAGATTAGATTTGAACATAGCAATGGTAATTAGATTAGTGCTACTGATGTCACGAAGTTCCTGCCACTGTTCTCTGAATAGGATCAACGGCGTCTTGGTGCCATAATTGTTCCCAACAATGATGAAGTTCTAGCAGAAGCAAAAGGAAGTCCATCCTTGGTGAGAATGGCGAACTAGCGAAAGATAAGGTCATGAACATGCTATATGATGAATTGAAAACCTGGTGAGAGTTGCCCGCCCTTCTGTTGTTTCTCTCTCTCCCTGTCTCATTCTTCTTGCTGTTGGAAATACTAAGACATGGGTGAAAAGAATTGAAAAGAGGCACATGTGACACTATTTCATGATTTTGATTGATAGTGATGATTCATATGATGATTACAAACAAACATGGGTTTTGGGACGATGTCTTTCTTTGTGTGCACGTGACACTATTTCAGGACTTTGACTTTTGATTGATGACATCTATCATCAGAGGAAGCATTTAATTATTTCGTTAATAAATTTCAGGACCGCGCATTGCTCTTTCCGTGTCGGGCCAATTATGATTGTCGACGAACCATTTACGGTGGGTTTTCATTCATATTTATAATCGAGAAGCTATCTTTGCATGGAACCTGACAATATTTTTTTCTTCAGATTGACAATGGTCTGATGACACCCACCATGAAAATAAGAAGGGACAAAGTGACAGACAAGTACAGAAGGGAAATCGAAGCGTTGTTCAAGTGAGATGCGGAGCGCGTGCGTGTGCTCTAATAGCAGATCTATCTAATAAGAAAATCGAGAGGGATGCATCCATCTGATTGAAACAAGTTCTTTTTGGATAAATGATGAATAAGCAGGTTACTACACTATTAGATGTATGTGTGTACATGCAATAAGTGACTGGTCAAACTCAAAACGCATTGCTAACCCTCCGACTTTACAGCGATCTTGCTCTGCGATTAAAACTGATGCTGTCTATTGAGGTAGTACAGTAATAATCTGCTATGAACTATATGATCGTCATACAGCTATGGTCATGTTGCGGTGTGAGCCGGCGCAGCAGCATGCACCCAGAAGGCGATGAGGACCGCCGCCACTGCCGCACGCAGCAGCCTGCCTATCACCGTCCGGCAGCAGCTGGTACTCTCCTCCTCGCCGTCAGACTCGTCACTGCCGACAGCCGTGGCCTCCTCTGCCTGTACGACGACGGCTTTGTTAGCATCGCCATTGGCCACCGCTACCGGCTGCAGCTTCTTCCTCTGCTTCCTGCTCCGCTCGTTCCGCGCCTTCTTCTCGTTGCGACCGTACGTCCCGGCGGCGCTGCTCTGCGCGTTGCCGACGGCGGCCTCCGAGGCCGCCGTCGCCATCGTCTGCTGGTGCTTGTATTCCGTGGCTTCTCTGCCCTTGGTGTCCCTCTCAAGTCTCTTGGCTGCCTCGTTGTCGCCGGGATCATCGTCGGCGAGCACGGCCCACATGTTGGCGCTCGCCTTGGTTCCGCCGCCCGCAGCCGCTGCCATGTCGCCGGCGGGTCGAGCGAGCGATCCAATCCAATCCATGGCAACGACGCGATCTACTCCTATATAGTACAGTAACTACCAATAACGAACACAGCATCCATCAGAGTTTCCTTTTCGAGTACAAAACGGCAACCGTACGTGTCGATCGGAGTTTGTGTAGCCCGACGTTTTCTCTTCGATCGAACGGCGTGGCACAGATCTCCCAGCCCGGTCTGTACGGCGTATGCTTCGGATCCTGCCTGCGTACATACAGACACTTGCAAGCTCTGCAACGTGTCGATGTACGTGTACGTACGTATTTGCATACAGTCGGAATCCAATGCAAATACCAACCCGGACCTTCTTGGAACTGGAACTGGAACTGGAAGAGAGAAGAGAGAGTCAGGGTCACGGTCCTCACGGAAGGCTTCTTTTCTCGAACCCAGGCATGATTTTTTCCTTTGCTGAATAAAAAAAAAATGGACTGTATCTTTTATTAATTATAAGAAAATCTATAAAATAGTATCTATCTATTACCTCTATAATACACCAGTTAGAATAAATTTATAACCACACGACAAATGACTGCTCCACAGTCATGATCTATGCTACATCCACACCCATTAATGCACCCAGAAAATATAACACCATCAAAACGGATGCACCAGATTATCTCTTAGCCATTCTCTCTCATTACTCATCCAAATTCGACGACTCATATTTAGTGTGTCTGCCCTCCATCGCCCTCCCGCAGACTTGCCGCGATCGCCCCCTGCCGCCATCGCGAACCCGCTGGCCTGGCTGCGGGCGCGCCTCCCCTGGCTGAGGGCGCAACTGCCGGGGGCGCTGCCATCGGGGTGCGATCTGCCCGTCCTCACCATATATTCGTCTCACTTTCCCATCAGCGCCGCCGTACCTCCGAGATCAGCCCACTGACAGCGTGGCCGCCGGCCAAGCAGAAGGCCGGACGCGCTCCAGTCGCCCGACGCCGAGGGCACGAAGGCCACTTCTCCTCCAGCGGCGGCGGCGAGACCATCAGCCGCGCCACGAGCAGTCACTTCCCCAGAGTCGTTGATGGCAGCTCCCGTCCCCAGCCCATGGTGGATCTGGTGGCGGCGGCGCCCCATTCTCCACCAGCGGTGACCCTGAGGTGACTGTATGCAGCCTCCAGGCGGTGGCACACCGCTCGATCAGGCGCGGCCTGCCAGTGGCGCTCGGCGACTGCGTGGACATGTACTTGAGCATTAGTATCTAGATGCAGCAACTTCTTGAACCGGCATGGAGGTGACTGTGTACAGGTGCAGATGATTTCATTTTTGTAATTTCCCTCGTGCTATATAACTAATATAGATGAGATCCTTGATGGAGTATGCGATTTATGTTGCCCTCCCTCTCTCAGGCCTCCCTTGATTCTGATCTCTGAACCCATGCGAAGTAGCTTTTTATGGATGCATGGTAGTAATTTGGGGCAAAATTTAATAGTATTTGTAATTGGCCTCCCAGATCACTACTGTCTACGATCCCAGGTGTTAGAGGGCGCTTTACTTGATAACACACATTCTAGATGGAATAGCAACGTCAAGAATCTGCATACATACTTGCATACATACCATTTTTGCTTGAATTTGTTCCTCTATCTTCATACAGGTTCACTAGTAGAGAACAGACATTTGATCCTCGGTCAAAATGGGCTCTAGTCCCGGAATTTTTTGCGCCCAGGACTAGAAATACCTTTAGTCCCGGTTGGTGTCTCCAACCGGGACTAAAGGTCCCTGCCCCAACGGCTACTGCGCCAGACAGAGGTGGCAGGGACCTTTAGTCCCGGTTGGAGCCACCAACCGGGACTAAAGGTATACTTTTACTCCCGGTTGGTAGCTCCAACCGGGAGTAAAGGTCTACTCCCGAGTCGTGGCTGTGCCCGGGATTGGAAAGTTACTTTTAGTCCCGGTTGGAGCCACCAACCGGGACTAAAGGTCCCCCCTTTATATCCTGGCCGTCTCCTTCTTCCTCCCCGAGCCCGAGCTCAGCACATTTTGAAGCTCACTGCACTAGTGTTCTTGCTTCCTCCCTCCCTCCATTGTTCCTCCATCCATTATTCGATTCCTCCATCGATTTCTTCGATTCCTCCGTCGATTCTTCAGTTGTAAAGGTTACCAATCTCATACTCTCATTTTTCACCATTGTCTTATCTCATTTTGTTCACTATATATATATATATATATGGTTCTTTATTTTGGTTTTTTTCATTTGTAAGCAATTTGAGCTCAAAATCACTTCAAGCTTGCATATTTACATGAAATTAGGTTAAAGTAGCTAGTTGAACTTGCGGACCGTGTTCATCTCGGCGAGCACGTTCTCTGCCGAGCGGTAACGGATGTCAAGGAGGAGCTTTGATTCTACGAGGGAGAGCGGCAACGGTCGTGGAAGACCGTGTTCCCTTCCTCGTAGAATTGGAGCTCTTCCGTGGCCAAGTACGGTGTCATCCGGTGGAGAAATGCTCGCCGAGATCATGTAAGCAAGGTCAACTAGTACGGATGGTTATTTATTCACATGTCCTGATATCATCGCAGTAGTCTGTCAATCACCGTACCCAAACGTAGTATATATATAAATATAAACTTAGAAAATAGTTAGAAAATTATAGAAAATCCATACTAGTTGAACTTGCGGACCGTGTTCATCTCAGCGAGCACGTTCTCTGTCGAGCGGTAACGGACGTCAAGGAGGAGCTTTGATTCTACGAGGAAGAGCGGCAACGGTCGTGGAAGACCGTGTTCCCTTCCTCGTAGAATTGGTGCTCTTCCGTGGCCAAGTACGGTGCCATCCGGTGGAGAAATGCTCGCCGAGATGATCACGTAAGCAAGGTCAACTAGTACGGATGGTTATTTATTCACATGTCCTGATATCGTCGCAGTAGTCTGTCAATCACCGTACCCAAACGTAGTATATATATAAATATAAACTTAGAAAATAGTTAGAAAATTATAGAAAATCCATACTAGTTGAACTTGCGGACCGTGTTCATCTCGGCGAGCATGTTCTCTGCCGAGCGGTAACGGACGTCAAGGAGGAGCTTTGATTCTACGAGGAAGAGCGGCAACGGTCGTGGAAGACCGTGTTCCCTTCCTCGTAGAATTGGTGCTCTTCCGTAGCCAAGTACGGTGCCGTCCGGTGGAGAAATGCTCGCCGAGATGATCACGTAAGCAAGGTCAACTAGTACGGATGGTTATTTATTCACATGTCCTGATATCGTCGCAGTAGTCTGTCAATCACCGTACCCAAACGTAGTATATATATAAATATAAACTTAGAAAATAGTTAGAAAATTATAGAAAATCCATACTAGTTGAACTTGCGGACCGTGTTCATCTCGGCGAGCACATTCTCTGCCGAGCGGTAACGGACGTCAAGGAGGAGCTTTGATTCTACAAGGGAGAGCGGCAACGGTCGTGGAAGACCGTGTTCCCTTCCTCGTAGAATTGGAGCTCTTCCGTGGCCAAGTACGGTGCCGTCCGGTGGAGAAATGCTCGCTGAGATGATCACGTAAGCAAGGTCAACTAGTACGGATGGTTATTTATTCACACGTCCCGATATCGTCGCAGTAGTCTGTTATGTGTGTACACTCCCATTCTTCTGTTAATTTGCGGAAATATCATGTGAATTACTTACCTAACGCAGTAAAAGACGAGAACACAA